GGACTCCAGGCCCCTCCCCTCAGACAGCAGCCATGGTTACCATAGCAACAGCACATCGTCCCCGTCCAGCGCCTCGTTGTCCGAGAGGATCCAGGTGGGACAGGTAGCGTCCCACAGTCAGAGCACACCTGCTGCTCCGCACGCCTCTCTGGCCCCGCCCACCCAGCCGGCCACCAGGCTTCCTGATTGGCTGGCCTCAGTGACATCACTGAGCACCACCGGGCCGGCCGGCTCCACCGCGGCACCAGACACAGGTAAGATCACCTGTCAACATCAACATGTGAATGTTCTTAAAGGGCCAGCACCATCAGCTGCAGGAGAGCTGGAGGACAACGATTCCCAGAATCCTCCGGGGCTGCAGCCACTTCCTGTCTGTAATCAGACGGTTCTGAGCTGAATTCTGATCCGCTGTCCTTTAGGGGACACTGGTGGACCAGCAGAACCTGGACCGGGTCTGGGTTCTGATCCAGAACCAGCGAACGGAGCAGAGATTATTTCTGATCGATGATTGATTGATTTAAGATTCCCCTCGTCTCCCTGCCTCTGCTGTCCTCCCGTCTCTCTGTCTCAGTGGGACACTGAGGTGAATGCTAATGACCCGGCTCTGTCCTGAGCTCTGATTGGCTGCTGGGAGCTCATCAGATTCAGTGGATGTTTGAAGCTGCTGAGCAGAACCGGGCCGGACTGGACCGGGTCCCCCGAGGTTCTGCAGCAGTTTAACCGGTTCTGGCCGCATCAGGCTGTGATTGGAGGTTAGCATTAGCTCCTCTGCTAGCATAGTAACCCTGCAATAAACTTTCAGGGGGTGAAAGGTCAGGCCTGAACTGAGGCAGACCTGGTGGCGCCCCCTGCTGGTCAACAGCCTCATCCCTCTGGTTCTGGTTCTGGTTCTGGTTCCTGCAGGTCGGTGTCAGCTGGTCCTGGAGCCTCAGTGCCACATGCTGCCCTACAACCAGACCTGGCTGACCTCCTCCTTCGCCGTGGTGAAGAGTTCAGAGGTCGACATGTTGCTGAGGTAACCAGTTCACACTGACACGTCTGCTAATAGCGAAGCTAATCTTTCATTTAGCATGTTGAAAGCATTTAGCCCACTTAGCTTACAATGTCAGATTCAGACGCTCTGATCTGATTGGTTGCCTGCTGAGCCTTCAGCTAATCACAGTTTGGGTTTTTAGTTCCCTCCTCCGGGTCACACCTGGACACACTGAACCGACTGGACTGTGAAACCCGTCCATCAGCAGGCCGTCTGGTTCTGGTTCTGGTTCTGGTTCTTCAGAATCACTGATCCTAAACATCTTTCTCTAAATGTGTTTCCAGTTTGCCGGGTTGTGTTGGTTCTATGTACTTAACCTCACAGCGGGTCGGTTCTGGTGGGTTTGGACCTGAACCCGGGCGTTTTGTGCTGCAGGTTCTTCAGCTACCTCAGCAGACTGTCCTGCTACAGACACATCCTGCTGTTCGGCTGTTCGCTGGCGCTGCCCGAGTGTTTGGAGGCCGACGGTACCAACAGCAGGTAGGACTGTTTATCCTAAAGGATGCTGGGATATGTAGTCCCTCTGCTGTAAAATCCAGACCAAGGCACCAGGGATGGATCTAGAGAAAGCATTGATGGGGTGGCAGCATATCCCAATGTGTATATATATATATATATATATATATATATATATATATATATATATATATATATATATATATATATATATATAGATATTGCAGCAGGCCCCCCGAGGCCCCCTGTGGATCCGGCCCTGCAGGCTCCTTCCCCCAGCAGCTGCTGGGACAGAAAACGATCCGGCTGCTGGGAGTTCAGCTCTAAGAATAACACACTCCCTCCATCTGAAACTGGATCACACATTTACACAAACACACACACCGTCAGTACCAGCAGCTTCAACTCCACATGACCTCTGACCTCTCAGTTCTGCTCCAGAGAATCTAATGAAGCTGGGAGCATCTGGTCGTTCCGGTCCAGATGGATCTATGACCCGGAACCCAATACTAGAACCAGAACCTGTTACAATGGATACTACTCAATGGATCTGATGTTCTCCTGGTCGGGTCAGCTTGGTTCTGACCGGGTTCTGACCGGGTTCTGTCTGGGTTCTGCCCGGGTTCTGACCCGCTGTGCTCCTGCAGGAAGGTGGTTCTGCCCTGCGCGTCGTTCTGTGAAGCGGCCCGGGAAGGCTGTGAACCCGTCCTGCAGATGTTCAACACCTCCTGGCCCGACTTCCTGCGATGCTCCCAGTTCAACAAGATGGCCTCGTCACCTTCATCATCCTCATCACCTTCATCATCCTCATCATCCTCATCACCTTCATCATCCTCATCATCCTCATCATCCTCATCGCCCGTGGCGACCAGTGGCCTCACGCCTCCTGCCTGTTTCTCACCGCGTCAGATCACCGGAAAACCCTGTGAGTCTCAACACACACCTGCTGCTGCCTCAGGTAAACCATCACACGGTACGATGACATCACCTGTCTGTCTGCTCTGATTGGTCGGCAGCTGTGTGCGGCGGGAAGGACAACTTCCTGTGTGCGACTGGAATTTGTGTCCCTCAGAAACTGGTGTGTAACGATTACAACGACTGTGACGACTGGAGCGACGAGACACACTGTGGTGAGCTCACACACACACACACACAGAGACACACACACACACAGAAACACACACACACAGAGACACACACACACACACACACAGACACACACACACAGACACACACACACAGAGACACACACACACACAGAGACACACACACACACACACACAGAGACACACACACAGAGACACACACACACAGAGACACACACACACACAGACACACACACAGAGACACACACACACAGAGACACACACACACAGACACACACACACACACACACAGAGACACACACACACACACACACACACACACACACACACACAGAGACACACACACACACACACACACACACACACAGAGACACACACACACACACACACACACACACAGAGACACACACACACAGAGACACACAGAGAGACACACACACACACACACACACAGATACACACACACACACACACACACACACACACACACACACAGAGACACACACACACACACACACACACACACACAGATTGTCTCCAGTTTAAATAGCATGGGATGTTTTCAGCCCGTTGCCATGGTGATGTGAGTGCTGGTAATTGATTGGCTGACAGCAGGGTGGGGCTTCCTGTGTGTGTGACATCAGCTTGTTGTCGTGGGAACGTCTCTCCTGACCTCTCCCCGACCCCGACCTTCACGCTGCAGGAATTGGTGGTCCTGCAGCCGGTGACCGGAGCCGAGCTGGAGGATCAGCACCAGAATAAAGGATCTGGACCGAGCGGGGAATCTGGATCGGGTCAGACTGTGAGGATGATGATGATGTGTGTCTCTGTTGCAGAATGTCCTGATGAAGAGTTTCGGTGCAACACGGGTCGCTGCCTGAGTCCGGTTCTGGTCTGCGATGGTTACGACGACTGTGGAGACCTGAGCGACGAAACTGAACTGTGGTGAGGAAACCTCCAACCTTTGACCTTTAACCTGAACAAACCAGAAAACAGAGAGGAGAGAGATGACAGACTGCCACCTGGAGGCCTGGGGGGGAATAGCAGCAGGAGAAAACAGTCTCCTGGGTAACTGCTGTGTGTGTGTGTGTGTGTGTGTGTGTGTGTGTGTGTGTGTGTGTGTGTGTGTGTCTCTGTGTGTGTGTGTGTCTGTGTGTGTGTGTGTGTGTGTGTGTGTGTGTGTGTCTCTGTGTGTGTGTGTCTGTGTGTGTGTGTGTGTGTGTGTGTGTGTGTGTGTGTGTGTGTCTGTGTGTGTGTCTCTGTGTGTGTGTCTCTGTGTGGTGTGTGTGTGGTGTTGTGTGTGTGTGTGTGTGTCTCTGTGTGTGTGTGTGTCTGTGTGTGTGTGTGGTGTGTGTGTGTGTGTGTGTCTGTGTGTGTGTCTCTGTGTGTGTGTGTGTGTGTGTCAGTGTGTGACCTGTCCCGGGAGCACCGCTGTGGGGACGGACGCTGCGTCTCCAGGGACTGGATCTGCGATGGAGACCACGACTGCCTGGACAAAAGTGATGAGACCAACTGCTGTGAGTTCCAGTCAGAAACATGAGATCTGGGTCGGGGCGTTCGGGTTCCACCCGGAGGAAACCCGGTTCTGGTTCTGTTTGTGTCGGCAGCCTGCAGGAGCCAGGGCCTGCTGGAGTGCAGGAACGGTCAGTGCGTTCCCTCGGCTTTCCGCTGCGACGGCGAGGACGACTGCAAGGACGGCAGCGACGAAGAGTTCTGCAGCCGGGAGCAGAGTGAGACATCTCTCCATTTCACCCATCTCTGCTCTTCTTTCCTCTGTTCAAACATGAAAGACTCAACATTTATGCTTGAGATCATCTAAGTACTTTTATCTTGAACAACCTGATAGATTTAAACTTATCAGAGAAGATCTGACTAAACCCTGATTCAGCTTCACCAAAACCACCCACATATATGAAAACATCCCTTAAATAGACCCTGTCTGGCAGCATGAAGTAGGCTGAAGGATGTTAGAAATATCCACAACTCAATGCTCAGGCAACATTTTGAGTTTCTGCAAATCATTGGGTCAAGTGATGCTAACTCCCACCTGTAGGTGGCAGTGTTTCTTACTTTACTCCACTTTGATTCAGCTTTGATGTCAAGTTATTATCTGTGATTCATGTGTCAAAAGTCACATTTAGCGTCATATGTGCAAAGAAAAAATCACTAAATTCCTTGTAAATATTTCTGAAGTAGCAACACAAGATTTATGAGTTTGATTTCAAGAAAATCACTAAATCAAGGTAATATTCTGCATTCAGAAACATCTTCATTATTCCATATTTTTTATTTTAGACTTAAGTTTGAATTCTAACCTGAAGACCTCAAGATGCCGCAGCAAACCGTTAGCATGAAATGCTGAACTTTTAACATATCAAAATTGCTACAACTTGCTTATGTAGCAATTTTCCAATCATTTTGATTCAGATTATTTTACACTAGAGTCACATTCACCGTGCTGCTGCTGTCGTCTCCTGCAGACCCAGCAGGCTGCCTCCCCGGTCAGCCTGGCTGCAGTTCCTCCTCCTGTCCAGCGTGTGGAGCTGGTACCATCGCCTGTGATCCACGGAGCAACAACTGCTGTGAGTAGAGAGAGAACCAGTCCAGACCAACTATGGGAAACTGGATAACATGTCTCCCCTGGTGGTGGACCAGTAACTGCAGCCTGTCTCCCCCTGGTGGTGGGACCAGTAACTGCAGCCTGTCTCCTCCTAGTGGTGGGACCAGTAACTGCAGCCTGTCTCCCCCTGGTGGTGGGACCAGTAACTGCATCCTGTCTCCTCCTGGTGGTGGGACCAGAACTGCAGCCTGTCTCCCCTGGTGGTGGGACCAGTAACTGCAGCCTGTCTCCTCCTGGTGGTGGGACCAGTAACTGCAGCCTGTCTCCCCCTGGTGGTGGGACCAGTAACTGCAGCCTGTCTCCTCCTGGTGGTGGGATGAGTAACTGCAGCCTGTCTCCTCCTGGTGGTGGAACCAGTAACTGCAGCCTGTCTCCTCCTGGTGGTGGGACCAGTAACTGCATCCTGTCTCCCCCTGGTGGTGGGACGAGTAACTGCAGCCTGTCTCCCCCTGGTGGTGGGATGAGTAACTGCAGCCTGTCTCCCCTGGTGGTGGGATGAGTAACTGCAGCCTGTCTCCTCCTGGTGGTGGGACCAGTAACTGCATCCTGTCTCCCCCTGGTGGTGGGACCAGTAACTGCATCCTGTCTCCCCCTGGTGGTGGACCAGTAACTGCATCCTGTCTCCCCCTGGTGGTGGGACCAGTAACTGCAGTGTGTCTCCCCCTGGTGGTGGGACGAGTAACTGCAGCCTGTCTCCCCCTGGTGGTGGGATGAGTAACTGCAGCCTGTCTCCTCCTGGTGGTGGGACCAGTAACTGCATCCTGTCTCCCCCTGGTGGTGGGACCAGTAACTGCATCCTGTCTCCCCCTGGTGGTGGACCAGTAACTGCATTGTGTCTCCCCCTGGTGGTGGGACCAGTAACTGCAGTGTGTCTCCCCCTGGTGGTGGGACCAGTAACTGCAGCCTGTCTCCCCCTTGTGGTGGGACCAGTAACTGCAGCCTGTCTCCCCCTGGTGGTGGGATGAGTAACTGCAGCCTGTCTCCCCTGGTGGTGGGATGAGTAACTGCAGCCTGTCTCCCCCTGGTGGTGGGACCAGTAACTGCAGTGTGTCTCCCCCTGGTGGTGGGACCAGTAACTGCAGTGTGTCTCCCCCTGGTGGTGGGACCAGTAACTGCAGCCTGTCTCCCCCTGGTGGTGGGACCAGTAACTGCAGCCTGTCTCCCCCTGGTGGTGGGATGAGTAACTGCAGCCTGTCTCCCCCTGGTGGTGGACCAGTAACTGCATCCTGTCTCCCCCTGGTGGTGGGACCAGTAACTGCAGTGTGTCTCCCCCTGGTGGTGGGACCAGTAACTGCAGTGTGTCTCCCCCTGGTGGTGGGAACTGGTCCTGATTGTCTCTGCTCTGCAGCGCGCTGTGAGCCCATCACCCTGGAGCTGTGCATGAACCTGCCCTACAACCAGACCAGCTTCCCCAACTTCCTGGGCCACCTGTCCCAGAGAGAGAGCTCCGTGTCCTGGGAGTCGTCCTTGTTCCCGGCGCTGGTCCAGACGGGCTGCTACCAGTACCTCATGTTCTACGCCTGCACCCTGCTGGTCCCTAAGTGCGACCCGCTCAGCCTGCAGAAGGTCCCTCCCTGCAGGTCAGTGGCTCCCCGGTGCTACCCGGTTAGCGACGGCTGCAGCTGAGTCCCCTGTCCTCCGTCCTGCAGGTCGCTGTGCCGCCACGCCAAGGAGAAGTGTGAGTCGGTGCTCGGCATTGTGGGTCTGCAGTGGCCTGAGGACTCCGACTGCACCCAGTTCCCAGAGGATGGAGGAAACTCCACCTGCCTGCTGCCGGAGGACGGAGTGGACGGTACGGTTTGTCCTGATGATGATGATGATGATGACGATGATGTCACATCTCGCTCTCAAACCTTGATGCTGCTGCGTTGCCATGGTTACAGAGTGCTCCCCCAGCCACTTCAAGTGCCGGTCCGGCCGCTGCGTCCTGGCGACCAAGCGCTGCGATGGACACCCGGACTGTGACGACCACAGCGACGAGGACAACTGCGGTGGGACAGAGTCCAGACGCCGTCCTGCTGTCCTGCTGTCTGTGGTCTGACCTGCTGCTGTCTCTGCCTCAGGCTGCTCTGAGCGCGCTCTGTGGGAGTGTCCCGGCAGCACGCTCTGCATCAAGCCCACCATGATCTGTGACGGCTTCCCAGACTGCCCCCTGCAGGTGGACGAAGCCAACTGCTGTGAGACTGTTTCCACTTCCTATGTGACCTTTGAACTTCAAGTTAGGTGCACTGACCCTGAAGCCTGAACCCTGAAGCACTAAGCATGAGTTCTGCTAATGCTAAGCCGCTCTGTATGCTGTTTAGCATAATGAAATGCTAAACCAACTCAGGACTTTTCCTAACATGGTTTTTAGCAGAAGCTAATTTTATAGCATTATATTCAACCAGGTGATACTCACTATATGTTACAAGGTGGGAAAAATCATTTCCATTTTGGCAGGAATTGAAATAACAGACGTTGGATGAGAGAATCTTCTGCATAACTCGTCCGTTTGCTGTTTACTTTTTATTTCCTTAATAAAGTTTTCTAAACAAAATGAACATAAGAAAAGGAAAAGGACCTGCAGAGTAAACAGTTTATTCCCCTTATAACCAAAACTTCCACACAGACTTCAAATTTTATTTAACTGAAAGTTTATAAACCAGCCAACTTCAAAATGTATCCAGGAAATGAAGCTAATGGCGCTAACTGTATCAGACAGCAAAATGCTACAGAGCTAAAGAGAAGATTAGCTTAGCTTAGCGTATTAGCAGAATGTGGCGACCTCTGACATTTAGTGACACAAAGTGTGTCTTCATATAGAGCTTTGGAGCTGAGGTCACGCTCTGAAGCTCTGTCGGTTCTGTGTTTATGCAGTAAGTTGTTGTCTGGTGTTGGTTGTTGTTTGGTTGTTGTCTGGTTGTTGTGTTGTTGTTTGGTTGTTGTCTGGTTGTTGTCTGGTTGTTGTCTGGTTGTTGTCTGGTTGTTGTTTGGTTGTTGTCTGGTTGTTGTCTGGTTGTTGTCTGGTTGTTGTCTGGTTGTTGTCTGGTTGTTGTCTGGTTGTTGTCTGGTTGTTTGGTTGTTGTCTGGTTGTTGTCTGGTTGTTGTCTGGTTGTTGTTTGGTTGTTGTCTGGTTGTTGTCTGGTTGTTGTTTGGTTGTTGTCTGGTTGTTGTCTGGTTGTTGTTTGGTTGTTGTCTGGTTGTTGTCTGGTTGTTGTTTGGTTGTTGTCTGATTGTTGTCTGGTTGTTGTCTGGTTGTCTGGTTGTTGTCTGATTGTTGTCTGGTTGTTGTCTGATTGTTGTCTGGTTGTTGTCTGGTTGTTGTCTGATTGTTGTCTGGTTGTTGTCTGGTTGTTGTCTGATTGTTGTCTGGTTGTTGTCTGGTTGTCTGGTTGTTGTCTGATTGTTGTCTGGTTGTTGTCTGGTTGTTGTTGGTTGTTGTCTGGTTGTTGTTTGGTTGTTGTCTGGTTGTTGTCTGATTGTTGTCTGGTTGTTGTCTGGTTGTCTGGTTGTTGTCTGATTGTTGTCTGGTTGTTGTCTGATTGTTGTCTGGTTGTTGTTTGGTTGTTGTCTGGTTGTTGTCTGATTGTTGTCTGGTTGTTGTCTGATTGTAGTCTGGTTGTTGTCTGGTTGTTTGGTTGTTGTCTGGTTGTTGTCTGATTGTTGTCTGGTTGTTGTCTGGATGTTGTCTGGTTGTTTGGTTGTTGTCTGGTTGTTGTCTGATTTTTGTCTGGTTGTTGTCTGGATGCAGCGGTCTGCAGGGACAACGAACTGGCCTGTAACAACCACCAGTGTGTTCATCGGACCCTGTGGTGTGACGGGAAGAAGCACTGCTCTGACAGCTCCGACGAGTGGAACTGTGGTACCGTCAGCTTTATTCTGATTATTAAAATTGCTTCATCAGTGGATCAATGACACAGAGATAAACATGCACTGAATGAAAGTAGTTGTTTTTAATGACTGTAGGGGGCGCTGTGGTAGTGAACAGCTGTCAGCTGATGGTTGATCTCCGTCTCTGCAGTCTCTCTGTCGGATCGGTCCGGTTCTGTTCTGACCGTGTTTAAGACGGCAGCAGAGTATCAGGTCTGTGCCGACGAGTGGAACCCGGACCTGAGCAACCTGACCTGCAACCAGCTGGGACTAGGGTAAGGTTAGTACCCTCACCCCAGTACTGGTCTGACTGGTGACAGACCAGTCAGACCAGTGGCTCCCTCACCTGAACACCTCAGCACCGACTCACTGCCAGGTCGTTTGTCCGTCTAAAGCAGAGTAACTGTACGGAGCTCCTCCTCAGGGCGCCGTCCTCGGTGTCCATGGTACCTGACCAGCCTGGGGTACCTGGCCGTCGCCGTTGGTTACACGTCCATCCAGACTGGAACCTCAGAAACGGTTCTGCTCTGCAGGCCCGACTGGAGAAGAGAAGGTACCACTGATGAATACTTTGGTTTATCCCACAGTGAAGAGCTGTGTCACTTCACTGTGGAGTTCTTGAGACGTGAAGGAACCGACTAAAGGATCAAACGGGTTTCTGGTTGGTTATAAACTGGGATTTATTCTTTGAACTTCAGCAAAACATCCATTTAATCCATGAAAATGAAACAAGAATCAAAATCTGTGTCTAATATCTTGTTTTTTAGAGTCAAGTTATCCCGGACAAGCCCCCAGTTCGTATAGAACACAACAAAGGTACCGATATTGGGGGCTTGTCCGGGATCCATCCATGTTATGAATCCCCTGGTTCTGTGTGGATTTTAATCATATTTCTATAAAAACACAGAAAACTGACAGTTCAGTTCTGATTCTGTTTAATTTAGATTTTAACAAGAAATAAGTTTAATCACCATAACGACACACGACACACAGCTCTACATTATGGTGTCACCAGGTGACCTTTGACCCCATCCTATCACTGAACACATGCTGAGAACAGATCTATGTGTGGATGAGATTAGAGTTGTAGATCTAGAGTTGTAGATCCAGAGTTGTAGATTTAGAGTTGTAGATCTAGAGTTGTTCATCTAGAGTTGTAGATTTAGAGTTGTAGATCTGGATTATAGATCTAGAGTTGTAGATCTACAGTTGTAGATCTAGAGTTGTAGATCTAGAGTTGTAGATCTAGAGATTATAGATCTAGAGTTGTAGATCTAGAGTTGTAGTGCTAGAGTTGTAGATCTAGAGTTGTAGATCTAGAGATTATAGATCTAGAGTTGTAGATCTAGAGTTGTAGATCTAGAGATTATAGATCTAGAGTTGTAGATCTACAGTTGTAGATCTAGAGTTGTAGATCTAGAGTTGTAGATCTAGATATTGTAGATCTAGAGTTGTAATGCTAGAGTTGTAGATCTAGAGATTATAGATCAAGAGTTGTAGATCTAGAGTTGTAGTGCTAGAGTTGTAGATCTAGAGTTGTAGATCTAGAGATTATAGATCTAGAGTTGTAGATCTAGAGTTGTAGTGCTAGAGTTGTAGATCTAGAGTTGTAGATCTAGAGATTATAGATCTAGAGTTGTAGATCTAGAGTTGTAGTGCTAGAGTTGTAGATCTAGAGTTGTAGATCTAGAGATTATAGATCTAGAGTTGTAGATCTAGAGTTGTAGATCTAGAGATTATAGATCTAGAGTTGTAGATCTACAGTTGTAGATCTAGAGTTGTAGATCTAGAGTTGTAGATCTAGATATTGTAGATCTAGAGTTGTAGATCTAGAGATTATAGATCTAGAGTTGTAGATCTAGGGTTGTAGATCTAGAGTTGTAGATCTAGAGATTATAGATCTAGAGTTGTAGATCTACAGTTGTAGATCTAGAGTTGTAGATCTAGAGTTGTAGATCTAGGGTTGTAGATCTAGAGTTGTAGATCTACAGTTGTAGATCTAGGGTTGTAGATCTAGAGTTGTAGATCTAGAGTTGTAGTGCTAGAGTTGTAGATCTAGAGTTGTAGATCTAGAGATTATAGATCTAGAGTTGTAGATCTAGAGTTGTAGTGCTAGAGTTGTAGATCTAGAGTTGTAGATCTAGAGATTATAGATCTAGAGTTGTAGATTTAGAGTTGTAGATCTGGATTATAGATCTAGAGTTATAATGCTAGAGTTGTAGATCTAGAGATTATAGATCTAGAGTTGTAGATCTAGAGTTGTAGTGCTAGAGTTGTAGATCTAGAGTTGTAGATCTAGAGATTATAGATCTAGAGTTGTAGATCTAGAGTTGTAGTGCTAGAGTTGTAGATCTAGAGTTGTAGATCTAGAGATTATAGATCTAGAGTTGTAGATCTAGAGTTGTAGATCTAGAGATTATAGATCTAGAGTTGTAGATCTACAGTTGTAGATCTAGAGTTGTAGATCTAGGGTTGTAGATCTAGAGTTGTAGATCTAGAGTTGTAGATCTAGAGTTGTAGATCTAGAGTTGTAGATCTAGAGTTGTAGATCTAGAGATTATAGATCTAGAGTTGTAGATCTAGGGTTGTAGATCTAGAGTTGTAGATCTAGAGTTGTAGTGCTAGAGTGTAGATCTAGAGTTGTAGATCTAGAGATTATACATCTAGAGTTGTAGATTTAGAGTTGTAGATCTGGATTATAGATCTAGAGTTGTAATGCTAGAGTTGTAGATCTAGAGATTATAGATCTAGAGTTGTAGATCTAGAGTTGTAGTGCTAGAGTTGTAGATCTAGAGTTGTAGATCTAGAGATTATAGATCTAGAGTTGTAGATCTAGAGTTGTAGTGCTAGAGTTGTAGATCTAGAGTTGTAGATCTAGAGATTATAGATCTAGAGTTGTAGATCTAGAGATTATAGATCTAGAGTTGTAGATCTAGGGTTGTAGATCTAGAGTTGTAGATCTAGAGTTGTAGATCTAGAGTTGTAGATCTACAGTTGTAGATCTAGAGTTGTAGATCTAGAGTTGTAGATCTAGAGTTGTAGATCTAGAGATTATAGATCTAGAGTTGTAGATAGGGTTGTAGATCTAGAGTTGTAGATCTAGAGTTGTAGTGCTAGAGTTGTAGATCTAGAGTTGTAGATCTAGAGATTATAGATCTAGAGTTGTAGATCTAGAGATTATAGATCTAGAGTTGTAGATCTAGAGTTGTAGATCTAGAGATTATAGATCTAGAGTTGTAGATTTAGAGTTGTAGATCTGGATTATAGATCTAGAGTTATAATGCTAGAGTTGTAGATCTAGAGATTATAGATCTAGAGTTGTAGATCTAGAGATTATAGATCTAGAGTTGTAGATCTAGAGTTGTAGATCTAGAGTTGTAGATCTAGAGTTGTAGATCTAGGGTTGTAGATCTAGAGTTGTAGATCTAGAGATTGTAGATCTAGAGTTGTAGATCTACAGTTGTAGATCTAGAGATTATAGATCTAGAGTTGTAGATCTAGAGTTGTAGTGCTAGAGTTGTAGATCTAGAGTTGTAGATCTAGAGATTATAGATCTAGAGTTGTAGATCTAGAGTTGTAGTGCTAGAGTTGTAGATCTAGAGATTATAGATCTAGAGTTGTAGATCTAGAGTTGTAGTGCTAGAGTTGTAGATCTAGAGTTGTAGATCTAGAGTTGTAGATCTAGAGATTATAGATCTAGAGTTGTAGATCTAGAGATTATAGATCTAGAGTTGTAGATCTAGAGATTATAGATCTAGAGTTGTAGATCTAGGGTTGTAGATCTAGAGTTATAGATCTAGAGTTGTAGATCAAGAGATTATAGATCTAGAGTTGTAGATCTAGAGATTATAGATCTAGAGTTGTAGATCTAGAGTTGTAGATCTAGAGTTGTAGATCTAGAGATTATAGATCTAGAGTTGTAGATCTAGGGTTGTAGATCTAGAGTTGTAGATCTAGGGTTGTAGATTTAGAGATTATAGATCTAGAGTTGTAGATCTAGGGTTGTAGATCTAGAGATTATAGATCTAGAGTTGTAGATCTAGAGATTATAGATCTAGAGTTGTAGATCTAGAGATTATAGATCTAGAGTTGTAGATCTAGAGTTGTAGATCTAGAGTTGTAGATCTAGAGTTGTAGATCTAGAGTTGTAGATCTAGAGATTATAGATCTAGAGTTGTAGATCTAGGGTTGTAGATCTAGAGTTGTAGATCTAGGGTTGTAGATTTAGAGATTATAGATCTAGGGTTGTAGATCTAGAGATTATAGATCTAGAGTTGTAGATCTAGAGATTATAGATCTAGAGTTGTAGATCTAGAGATTATAGATCTAGAGTTGTAGATCTAGAGTTGTAGTGCTAGAGTTGTAGATCTAGAGTTGTAGATCTAGAGATTATAGATCTAGAGTTGTAGATCTAGGGTTGTAGATCTAGAGTTGTAGATCTAGGGTTGTAGATTTAGAGATTATAGATCTAGAGTTGTAGATCTAGGGTTGTAGATCTAGAGTTGTAGATCTAGAGATTATAGATCTACAGTTGTAGATCTAGAGTTGTAGATCTAGAGTTGTAGATCTAGAGATTGTAGATCTAGAGTTGTAGATCTAGGGTTGTAGATCTAGAGTTGTAGATCTAGAGATTATAGATCTAGAGTTGTAGATCTACAGTTGTAGATCTAGAGATTATAGATCTAGAGTTGTAGATCTAGAGTTGTAGTGCTAGAGTTGTAGATCTAGAGTTGTAGATCTAGAGATTATAGATCTAGAGTTGTAGATCTAGAGTTGTAGATCTAGAGATTATAGATCTAGAGTTGTAGATCTAGAGATTATAGATCTAGAGTTGTAGATCTAGAGTTGTAGATCTAGAGTTGTAGATCTAGAGTTGTAGATCTAGAGTTGTAGATCTAGAGATTATAGATCTAGAGTTGTAGATCTAGGGTTGTAGATCTAGAGTTGTAGATCTAGAGTCAGATTGGTTTCCCCTGCGGTTCTTCAGCTTTAACCATCTAATCTGTGTTTGGTGTTTCCGATGGTCTCGTCTCCTGCAGCCACGCCTGCCACTCCAGGAGGAGAGTTTCGCTCCGATGCTCCAGAGCAGGTAACCGCCGCCTGCAGGATGGTTCTGACCTGCGGTCCATCCTGACGTTGACCTTCTGTCACCCTCAGAGTGCGGTCTGCGTCCGGCGCTGGCCCTCCGACCTCACAGGAGGAAACGGATCCTGGGGGGCCGGGTGTCAAGGCGCGGGGCGTGGCCCTGGCAGTGCTCGCTGCAGAGCGGCCAGAGCGGACACGTCTGCGGCTGCGTCCTCATCGCCCGGCGCTGGGCTCTGACGGTGGCGCACTGCTTCGAGGGGTGAGAGGTCGGCTCCGTGTGTCCGGTTCTGGTTCCTGATCCCGGCTCATCTGGACCCGGTTCTGTCCACCAGGAGGGAGAACGCAGAGCTGTGGAAGGTGGTTCTGGGCCTGACCAACCTGGACCACCCCGGCGCCCACAGTCAGACCCGCAGCGTTCGCTCCATCGTCGTCCATCCGCGCTACAACCGGGCGGTGGTGGACTACGACATCAGCGTGGTGCAGCTGGACTCTGAGGTCAGAACCTCCAGAACCACTGCGACCCAAACAGAGACCGGTTCTGACCGGTTCTGCCTCCTTACAGGTGGAGGAGACGGCCCACGTCAGGCCGGTGTGTCTGCCCCGCCCGGGTCAGCTGCCGACCCCGGACTCCTACTGCTACATCACCGGCTGGGGTCACATGGGCAACCGCAGTGAGTGGATGAGGTCATCAGACCCGGAGCAGAACAACCACAGATAGATATACATAGATTATATATAGATATACTCTCACTAGACGCTCCATCAGCCTCACCTTCAGCCAATCACAGGGCAGTAAATCCATGATGTCATCTCTTAGGAAACAGTTCTGCAGCTCCTCTCACCCTAAACTCACTCAGAGTGAGAGACTTTATTATTCTTTTTATATTTAGTACATTTTCCTTTGGCCTTTTTGACTCTCAGCCTGTTATCAGAACTGACCTAGTCCAAGTTTCTCCATCATGATCTAGATCCGTTTTTATATTTCTGACCAATGGGTTCATATTATAAAACATTTATAGACATTATAAAACAGTTTTCTGGTATTCCCAGAAAACGCCGCTCTGTCTTTCATACGTTTTCTCAGGTATAAATATCTCCAGATTTTTTGCCCCCTGATGAAACTTTTCAGTAAAACTTTATTTGATTTAAATGTTTCTGTCAGGTTGTTCTGCTTTGGCTGGTTGGGATGATTTCTGCTGCTTTTCTATAGAAAATATTTGATTTTATGATTTCATCTCAAAATAATTTGTTGGGTTTACAGATCGGTATCAGTCCAGTAATAATTAATCAAAGGAGCCATATTTATTTATCATGCATGACATCAAATGCAGCTTGTTCCAAGTTTCCATGTTGGTTTTGATGTTAGTGATCAGATTGAGACTATTAATATTTTATAGAGACACGCTCATGTAAACAACATGGATCATTTTCTCTGTCAGTTACAAAAACAAAGAGAAACGTTGTTTATTATAACATCATTAATAAAGTGATAATAAACATGTTTAGCTGCAGGTTGCAGATCTGCTGGATTTCATCTGAGCATTTCTGTTTCATCCTGATGTTCATCAGATCCAAACGACAGATTGATTCTCTGATTGGTTCTTTGATTGGTTCTCTGATTGATTCTCTGATTGATTCCCTGATTGGTTCCCTGATTGGTTCTCTGATTGGTTCTCTGTGATGTTTGCTCTGAGCTGAAACTGGACAGGAAACGGGTCAGCTCGGGTCAGCTGCCGGAGCAGCTTTAGTATCAGAAGATCCAGATCAGTTTAATGTTCCCACATCACTCAGCCGTTCTTGACTTTATTTTAACTAGAATAAAAGCAAACAGAACATTTTTAGCTGTAATGGATTAAAGGACATCCTGTCCCTGAGGACTTTATCCTATTTCTGTGCTAAAAGCCAAACAGGAGAGTTTGAAGGTTCAGCATCAAGAGCCAGAATCAGAGCCATGTTTCCTTTGTCCTGAGCACCTGAACGCCTCACGGGTGTTTGTGTCCTCAGTGCCCTTTAAGCTCCAGGAAGGCGAGGTCCGCATCATCTCCATGGCGCAGTGCCAGTCCTACTTCGACATGAAGACTATAACTCCCAGGATGCTTTGTGCCGGCTATGAGGCTGGAACCGTGGACTCCTGCATGGTACCAGATGCTCTCAGTGTGGTCAGTTGTGGGTCAGAACCGTCTGTAGATTCGGCTGTGTGTTTCAGGGCGACAGCGGCGGCCCGCTGGTGTGCGAGGAAGACGAGGGTCTCCGCTGGACGCTCTTCGGCCTGACGTCCTGGGGCAGCGTCTGCTTCAGCAAGGTGCTGGGGCCCGGCGTGTACAGCAACGTGACCCACTTCACCGCCTGGATCCAGCAGCAGATCTACGTACACAGCTTCCTGTCCGACTGACGCCGGCAGGAAGTGATGTCACTGCTGGCGTCAGACCGTCTGACTGTGCCTGAAACCACAGAACCAGAACCAGAACCTCTGCATCCATCACACTGGACCACATCACACAGAAACATTCATGTTTTCATTTCCAACCAGTAAATGACGCCTGGTCCCACTTCTTTATTTTTATAAATGTAATCTGGTTTAAAGTCCGGCATAAACGTCTCTGTGGTGTTTAAATATTAAATAACTTCAAACAGAAACTCAGAGGAAAAAACATCCATTTAGACCTTGAAGATCTTTTAACTGTATAATTTTCTTTCAATAGAAATTTTATTTCTGTTAAGATAAAAAAAAATCATGTGAATATGGTTTATCTAAAATATTAATTTTATCAAATAATCAAGAGCAAAAAGACATTCAGACCTGTTTATTAGCAACAGTAGAACATTATAGACAAGGAGAAATGTAAACAAATCTAACAAACTATTAAATTAGCCAATTATTTAAACTACAGATAAATTATGTTTTTCTGCATTTCATTTATGAAACAGTTTCTCTGTGATGTGAAGCACAGATGTAGCAAACTGATGGCATCTTATTTATATGAAGACCAGCTCTGTTAGCATTAGCTCTGTTAGCACTAGCTTGGATAGCGCTGGCTCTGTTAGCGTTAGCTGTGATGGTGTAACTCTGTTAAAACCAGCAGACTGATTTTAGTCATAATCAATAATTAAGGTTTAATGTGTTCACAAACATAAATGATTAAATGAAAATAAACACCATGTTTTATTTTATCTGAGATTGTTAGCATTTAACTCAACTAGCTTAATGCTAATAGCTTGTTTTAGCAGGACAAAGTGACACAAATTCATTTTCATTTTAAACATCTTCAGTTATAAAACACCCGGAAGTTATTACAGTTTAAAACAGCACAATGTATTATTTTTGGCACAAATTAACCGTAATGAAGGAGATCAGTGTGTTTATCTGACTGACATATGATTCATAACGCTTAAAATAATCATGTTTAGTTACAAATATTTAAAGCATTTATGACAAATACTTGGATAAAGTAAAGTTTTCTGTTTGTTCTGGTAAATATTCATAATTTTGCTGAATCCATGTTTTAGTTTCCAGACTTATTAAAGGTTTGGGTTCTGGACTCGACTGGATGCTGAATGTTAACGACAAGGAGAACATTAAAAACATTAAGAACGTTAAAAACATTAAGAACGTTAAAAACATTAAGAACATTAAAAACATTAAGAACGTTAAAAACATTAAGAACATTAAAAACATTAAGAACGTTAAAAACATTAAGAACATTAAAAACATTAAGAACGTTAAAAACATTAAAAACATTCAGAACGTTAAAAACATTCCTCTGCTGTTTGGGTTTCTATCAGTGTTTTCTACAGCTTTTTGTATGTTGAGCTTCTCACAGGACTGTGTGTGTGTGTGTGTGTCTGTGTGTGTGTGTGTGTGTCTGTGTGTGTGTGTGTGTCTGTGTGTGTCTCTGTGTGTGTGTGTGTGTGTCTCTGTGTGTGTGTGGGGTGTGTGTGTCTGTGTGTGTGTGTGTGTGTGTGTCTGTGTGTGTGTCTCTGTGTGTGTGTGCGTGTGTGTCAGTGTGTGTGTGTGTGTGTCTCTCTGTGTGTGTGTGTGTGTGTCTGTGTGTGTGTCTCTGTGTGTGTGTGTGTGTGTGTGCGTGTGTGTCAGTGTGTGTGTGTCTCTCTGTGTGTGTGTGTGTGTCTCTGTGTGTGTGTGTGTGTGTGTGTCTCTGTGTGTGTGTGTCTGTGTGTGTGTCTCTGTGTGTGTGTGTGTGTGTGTCTCTGTGTGTGTGTCTCTGTGTGTGTGTGTGTCTGTGTGTGTGTGTGTGTCTCTGTGTGTGTGTGTCTGTGTGTGTGTGTGTGTGTGTGTGTGTGTGTGTGTCTCTGTGTGTGTGTCTCTGTGTGTGTCTCTGTGTGTGTGTGTGTCTCTGTGTGTGTGTCTGTGTGTGTGTGTGTGTGTGTGTGTGTCTCTGTGTGTGTGTGTCTCTGTGTGTGTGTGTCTCTGTGTGTGTGTCTCTGCGTGTGTGTGTGAGATCATCCCGTCACGCGTTCAGGTCGTGTTTTGCGTTGTTTCAGCTCTGATCAGTTTGTTGCCATGATGACCAGGTAGCCTCTGAAAAGCTTGATGATCTGCTGCCTCTGATGTTTTAGTGAATATTTGTTTGTATTTTCTGTTTATGGCTCTAATAAATGGTCCCACAGTCAGTGGGGTTTGACTCACCGTCTGTCTGCTCATCTTTCCACTTCCTCTCCTGAGAGGAAGGAAACAGCAGCTTTTTATAGTCGGGATCCGACTGAAGATGTGTCAGAAATGTCATTATTATTAACATAAAGTATCATATAAAACTTCCCTGGATCAGTTGTCAGCTCTGAGATCATGTAGGTTTATTAAACTAAAACTGTCAGGAGTTTGTGTCCAGGTTTTGCTTTAATTTGAATTTTAATGTTTCATATTTTATTTAAGTAAAGTTGTGAAAATATCAGAGGAGCCATAAGGACAGAACATGAGAGGAACCTCATCATCCTGCTTCTGGTCCAATCAGATTGGAGCATGAAGAGTCGACCCAAAACGCTTTGGTGCCTCATGATGGGCCTACTTGCAGATGGAGCTCTGACCTCTGACCTGCAGCAGCAGATGTTTGGTTCACTGGAGGTTTCATCCTCTAATATGGTGGTTATCAATCATGACCTCTGGTTCTGTGTCCGGGTCTCTGATCCAACCTTTATGATGGAGGTTCTGGTCATGACTTGAATATTTCTGGGTCAATCCGGAGCTACAGGATGAATCGATTCAGGTCCAGAAACCCGTTTCTGTCCATGGTTTTAGATTTGCAGATTTGTGTTTTAATGTTGGTTCTTCTAGAACCAGCAGGGATCTGAGTCAGAGTCCATCTGTTCATCCAGAACAGTCCAGACCGGGTTCCAGACCGGGTTCCAGACGGGTCCATGACTCATCCTGACCACGTTCCGTGCGACAGTGGGCAGTAAGAACCAGGAGGAACTAGGTGACCCGGCCAGCTGGAGGAAGTTCTGGAGAACCTTACCGGTGGACCTGTGTTGTGTCTGGTGCTGACCCAGACACGGAGCAGTTCTGCTGACGTCAGCAGCTCTGAGCTCAGACAGGAAAACCTGCCATTATGGAAGCTGTTTGTCTGCAGGCCGTTAATACTGAGAGGTAATGCCAGGTTTGATACCTGGGATTTAGCACAGTGACAAACACAACGGACGACAACCAGCTGCTAACACACACACACACACACGCATGCTGTTCACACACACATACACGCACGGACACACACACGCACACATGCTGTTCACACACACACGCGCGTTTTGTGGGGACTTTCCACTGACTTCCATTCATTTCTACAGCCTAAACTTTATCCTAATTCAAACCAAAACTCAATTCACCTCTTAGTCCTAAATCTGACCCCTGACCCAAAACAGAGTTTCTCCTTGTGGGGCCCGGGCTTCTGTCCCCACAAGTGGCAGCAAGTCCCCACAACGTAGTGTCAGGACAATGGTCCCCACAAGGTATTAGAAACAAACACACACACACACACACACACACACGCTCTGCTCACACACACTCTGCTCACACACACTCTGCTCACACACACTCTGCTCACACACACTCTGCTCACACACACCCTGCTCACACACACTCTGCTCACACACACTCTGCTCACACACACTCTGCTCACACACACCCTGCTCACACACACTCTGCTCACACACACTCTGCTCACACACTCTCTCGCCCTGCATCTGGCTCTGTGACTCAGTCCTGCTCTCCTGTCGGTTCCAGACGCATCAAACCAGCGAAGGTAAGAAAACAGACCAACTAGAGAGAAAAACACCTGAAATATTTAAATGATTGGATTTAGTCAAATCAGATAAATATATTTTTAATCTGAATAAAACTAAACATTAATTCTGTTTAACTGCTGAAATATGTATTTAAAGGAAAATCAACAAATTAAAATAATGTAATTCAGCTCCATTTTAATGTATATTTTAATAAATCTGTGGAGCATGAAGCCTCTTAGTCACAATATCAACACAAAATCAGTCTTAAAATTGTGTAAATAGACATTTTATAACAAGTAAAAACTGACTTTTACACATTTATTTAATATTTGCTGAAGTTTTTAGTAAATTTACAAACTTTTTGCTTATAATAAACATTTATTGAGACGCTTATGGCTCTGGTTCTATTTCAGTTTTTTATCAAATGGATTTTATATTTTATGGTTCTGAAATGTGATTTTCATTTGGATCTTTAAAAACATCCTGATCCGTTTCACTGAAAGGTCCAGAAGAACCTGGAGAATAAAGAACAAGAAAAATGTAAAAATACAGAAATTAATGACAAATAGAAGAATTACATGATTAAACTTTATCAGAACATTTTGGACCTCAGGAACCGATCTACTCTCTATTGGGTCCAGTTTGGACTTTCCCAGTCTGACAGAACCTTCAGAACCGGTCATTCCTGCAGAAAGCAGGACGTGCCTGGCTGCAATGGGGAGATAAATCACCTTCATGTTCCCACCAGAACCAGAACCCAGTGGTTCTGGTTTATCTCGGTTGAGGTCCAAACTGTCTGCTTGTGTTTCAGATGATGGATGAAGAAGCTACGAAGCGCTACGTCCGGCCCACGGACCAGAACCCCGCTCAGGTAAAACCCAAACCCACCAGAACCCTGAAGCCCCGCCCACCACCACTGACAACAGCAGTTTATGTAATTAAAGCAACAGAAAACATTTAATGAAAACATGAATCAGTTCTAAAATGTTAAAACCAGGATAATAATTTAACCTGAAATCATTAATATTCATGTTTTTATTTACATAAAGATATAAAATCTGCATCAGGAAATGTTTACAGAGGCTGAGCTCCCAGTTTGGATCCAGTTTGATGAGTTAAACTGGATACAGACCAGTGTAACAATTTTAGAAATATGCTTTTATTTATTTCTATTATAATGTTTGAAATTCCACCACATCCTGATTAATACTGAAGAATCTTTTTTTTCTGTTATATTTTAAGGATGTTATTATTTTTACTTATTCTGACAAGCGCCAGTATCTGCACTGTCACTTTAAGAGAGCATCTTATGACATCAGTACTGTACTACCTTCAGAGGTAGGGGAATCCCGACTCCTGTGAATGGAAGAGCTGCGTGTTAAAGGGCATTTTTATTTCTTTTGTGCAGGTATGTATATTTGGTTCTTTTGTTCTGCAATGTTTAAACTGGTTGTATTAAGGTCACAAAACAACTGTGATATGTGATTATTTTATTTTTTTTATATTTTACAAGAAATCTACTTTTTATTATTATTGTAGATTTATTTCCAAGAAACTAGAGTACTGTACTAGCTGCAGTTGGCGCTTGCCTGCCTGAGGAGAGGGGAATAAACAGTTGTATAAGACTGGTTATTATGATATCTCTGTCCTCCTGGAAAGATTTCCAGGAAAGAACTCTTTCAATATACACCGGTAACACCAGTTAGATTAACATTATTTATTACTTATTGCTGAATAATGACGTTAGAAAGTCGCAGCTGGTAGTTTGTCCACCAGGGGGCGCCTGCGAACAGCGCTCTGAGTCTCCTTTGACTTTATGAGTGAAATATGATCAATAATAACTGAACGGAGAGAATAAACAACAACTTAATGACCAATTAATAAATGATACAATTATACAGCAGTTTCTGTCCTGAAGCTGCAGAAAGTGGAGCTGCTGGGGTCCAGGTCTGACCGGAGACAGAGAGAAGAGGCTCAGCTGGCTCCTTCCTGAGGGAACGGACCGGAAAACCACAAACCATAAAACCTGAAAACCAAAAACCAGAAAACCATGAATCCATGAATCCATGAAACCATGAATCCATAAAACCATGAATCCATGAATCCATGAATCCGGGACACCACCAGCTGAGGTTCCTCCATGTTTCTGGTTCTGCCAGCCTGAAACCTCCTGCAGGTCCGGTTCACCAGTCTGACCAGTTCAGCACCTGGAGAGTCTCCATCATGTTTCTCCACCAGAACCAGGTCTGGTTCTTCTCCAAACCTCCTGGACCGGTTCTGCTGAACGGACCGGCTGGTCAGGCTGAACCAGAACGAGTCACAGTCCAACTTTACTGACACACACACACACACACACAATAACACTATCTGTTATTAACACTATCTGTGTGTGTGTGTGTGTGTGTGTGTGTGTGTGTGTGTGTGTGTGTGTGTGTGTGTGTCCAGAGTAACGCTGCGGGTCACCAGGAGGACAGAGAGATCAGCGTTCTGCCCCGCAGGAGGACGGAGGAGGACGAGGTGAGACAGACAGGCGGGACGTCTGGACTCCTTTGGTTCAGAAAAGTTCAGATGATCCATGAAAGCAGAATTTATTCTAATCAGATCAGAATAAAGATCCAGGAGTTTCTGCTTTTTCCATATAAATCATCGCTAGACGTTATTTTTATGTGTAGTATTGATACCAGGACCGGGTCCCGACCCGAGGACGGTCCTGACCGGGTCCCGACCCGAGTCAGACCGGTGGGACGTCAGCCTGTCTGTCCCTCTGTGTCCTCAGATGGGGACGTTGGGCTCGTCTTGTCCTGCTGTCTCAGAGTGAAGGATCGATGTCCGCGACCGAACGGCCTCCTCAACCTGCTGCTCACTAAAGGTAAAAAACCTGGACAGTAAAACAGCTGCCAGCCGCTGATCAGCACCGATCGGCTGTAAGAGCCACGACATCACAATAATCAATAATCAGCCGATCAATTAAAATCATTCTGATCAGAGATTCATGATCCATTTATTTATGGTTTCTGTTTTTATTCCAGTTTATTGGTTTTTATCTTTTATTTTCTATATTTAAAATATTTTCTAGTTTCAGGTTTAAGAGTTTTTAAGTTAAAGTTAATTGATCAAACCTGATACTAAATGATCATTAAGTAAAAATCAGCAACATGATCATTTATCATCCAGTAATGAAACTAAACTCATATTAAAATGTGGATCAAACTTTAACTGACAGGAACTAAATGAATTATTTTACTGTTTTAGACAAAAACCAGCAAAACCTCATTTTCCATTTTCACCACTGAAGAAACTTTGAACCTCATGAAGGAAAGAAAGTCATGAGAAATGATGCAGTTTGTCCTGATTTAATGATTCCCTCTGTTTGGATCTGTTCTTTTAAAATAATTATTTAAGTTGAATTAAACTGAACATTTTTATCTGAGTTCTGGTTGTGGATTAAATGTTGTTACGTTTCATTTATTGGACTTTTAATCCATATAATCTGATGATTTTCATGCATAGTTTCATTTAAATGAGATTAATGATTTATCTTGTTTCCTGTTGCAGGTATTAGAATCATATATAAAGTTATAAATGAGGCTCTTGTTGTTAATCTGTGGTCATGTAAACATGAATCTGCTCATCATCTGCGCAGCGTTCCTGCTGGTTCTGCTGTTTGGAACCGTCTGGTCCATAACGGGCCAGGAGTGTCTTCCTGGAGGGAACCTGTTTGGGATCGTCATCCTGTTCATCTGCTCCGTCCTGGAGGGAAACTGTTGGGTCTGATCCAGCTGCCGACGCTGCCTCCCCTCCCTCCACTGCTGGGTGAAGCCGCCGCTCTCCGGTCCCGACCCTGACCGGTCCCGACCCTGACCGGTCCCGACCCTGACCGGTCCTCCTGGACCGGCGGCGCACCGACCTGACTGTGTGTGTCTGCAGGATGCTGCTGGCCGGCCTGCTGCTGCGTAACGTGCCCTACGTCGGCGCCGCCGTCTCCATCCACCCCCACTGGTCTGCGGCTCTGAGGAAACGTGGCGCTGGCCGTCATCCTGACCCGAGCCGGCCTGGGCCTCGACCCCTCGGTACCGCCATCAGAACCGCCGCACCCCGTCCGCGTTCAGCCCGGTTCGCCCTCAGCTGTCAGTGTGTGTGTCCCTGCAGGCGCTGCGCCGCCTCAAAGCGGTGTGTGTGCGCGTGGCGGTGGGGCCCTGCGTGCTGGAGGCCTGCGTCGTTACTGTGGTTTCTCACTTCCTGCTGCGCCTGCCCTGGGCCTGGGGCTTCATCCTGGGGTAACACACACACACACAGAGACACACACACACAGAGAGACACACACAGAGACACACACACACAGAGACACACAGACACAGAGACACACACACAGAGACAGAGAGACACACACACAGAGACACACACACACACACACAGAGACAGAGAGACACACAGAGACACACACACACACACAGAGACACACAGAGACACACACACACACACAGAGACACACACACAGAGAGACACACACACAGAGACACACACACACACACACACAGAGACAGAGAGACACACAGAGACACACACACACACACAGAGACACACAGAGACACACACACACACACACAGAGAGACACACACACACAGAGACACACACACACACAGAGACAGAGAGACACACAGAGACACACACACACAGACACACACACACACACACAGAGACACACACACACACAGAGACACACACACACACACAGAGAGACACACACACACAGAGAGACACACACACACAGAGACAGAGAGACACACAGAGACACACACACACACACACACACACACACAGACACACACACACACAGACACACACACACACACAGACACAGACACACACACACAGACACACACACACACTGTGAGCTGCAGCTCTGAGTCTCTGTGTTTCTGCAGCTTCGTTCTGGCTGCAGTTTCTCCGGCGGTCGTCGTTCCTTCCATGCTGCTGCTGCAGAGGGAAGGATACGGAGTGGAGAAGGTAACATCACCACTCTAAACACACGGACCCAACCAGAACCAGTCCAACCGGCCTTTAGGTCCAACATCTACAGAGAAATCAAACTCATCAGCCCTTTGGTTCCTGTTTAGTGATGAAACGTCGTCTGGGGTCAGAGAGCCTTCAGCCTGTTACACTGTAAAACTTCCTCTGGCTCATTTTCCCAGAACCTGAAGCTTCTGCAATCAGCAGAACTTTAGTCATGAAATGATCCAGAACCTTTACAAGCTCTTAGTTTGATCCACACCAGGAACCTTCTGCTTCTCCCTGGACCCGCCAGCAGCAGGTAAACACTGCGGTCCAGTGATGACCTCTGACCCCACAGACAGACACATCCTCAGAATCTACCTGAGGGTTCTGGAGCATAAAGGGATGAAGTGGAACCAGACCTGAGGCCAGCAGGTTAACGATGCAGGTTAACGATGCGGTGCTGAGATCTGCCGTCTGTCTCTGCAGGGGATCCCGACGCTCCTGATGGCTGCTGGGAGTTTTGATGACATCCTGGCCATCACTGGGTTCTCCACCTGCCTGGGAATCGCCTTCTCCACGGGTCAGACCGGTTTCCTGTGGGGTTCTGCTGCGTTCTGCTGCGTTCTGACCCTGTCTGTTGTCCAGGTTCCACCTGGATGAACATCCTCAAAGGTGTGCTGGAGGTGGTGGGTGGAGTCGCCGCCGGACTGATCCTGGGTCTGTTCCTGATCCTCTTCCCCAGCAGCGACCAGGTCGGTCCTCAGAAACAAGCCGTCACAGACTGTGATGAGACCCAGGTGTGAAGCTGTTGGTGCCTCTGCAGGAGGACCTGGTGCTGCGCAGGACGCTGCTGCTGGTGGGACTCTCCGTTTTCTCCATCTTCTTCAGCAATGTTGTTGGCTTCGCCGGCGCCGGCGGCCTCTGTACGCTGGTCCTGTCCTTCCTGGCTGCTCTGGGTTGGAAGACGGACAAGGTGACGAACATCCAGATGTTTGGTTCTGCTGCAGCCTCAGACGTTACGGGACGCCATGTTCTGTGTTGCAACATGTTGAGTCATTGGGATTCCAATGTGGTGGAAGTTAGCATTTAGCATTAGCTACTGCTAATGCTAAATGTAGCATTAGTGCTACATGCTGTGTTGCTGTTGCGCTTTAGCATTAGCTACTGCTACATGCTGTGTTGCTGTAGCGCTTTAGTATTAGCTACTGCTAAATGCTTTAGCATTAGCTACTGCTAAATCCTGTGTTGCTATAGCGCTTTAGCATTAGCTCCTGCTAAAACCTTTGTTGCTATAGCGCCTTAACATTAGCTACTGATAAATGCTGTGTTGCTATAGCGCTTTAGCATTAGCTCCTGCTAAAAGCTTTGTTGCTATAGCGCCTTAACATTAGCTACTGCTAAATGCTGTGTTACTGTAGCGCTTTAGCATTAGCTACTGCTACATGCTGTGTTACTGTAGCGCTTTAGCATTAGCACTACTGCTACATGCTGTGTTACTGTAGCGCTTTAGCATCAGCTACCGCTACATGCTGTGTTACTGTAGCGCTTTAGCATTAGCTACTGCTACATGCTGTGTTACTGTAGCGCTTTAGCATTAGCTACTGCTACATGCTGTGTTACTGTAGCGCTTTAGCATTAGCTACTGCTACATGCTGTGTTGCTGTAGCGCTTTAGCATTAGCTACTGCTAAATGCTTTAGCATTAGCTACTGCTAACTGCTGTGTTGCTATAGCGCTTTACTATTAGCTACTGCTAAATGCTGGCTTGCTATAGCGCTTTAGCATTAGCTACTTCTACATGCTGTATTGCTATAGCGCTTTAGCATTAGCTACTGCTAAATGCTGGCTTGCTATAGCGCTTTAGCATTGGTGTAGCTAATGTTCATGGCTAGTGCTGTAGGGTTAGAGCAGCTAGCTCTGTAGTTAGCGGTTCCTTCCTCTAACTCCTGATGTGACCTTGTTGTGATCTTCAACCCCTGGAGCTAAAGGTCACGTATCTCTGCCTCCTGGAGGATGGAGGAGGAAGTGAAAGAGGAAGTTCAGACCTTCCCAGTGTCCCCAGCAGCTGGTTGCTCCTCCACCCAGTCAGCCATCTTTCGGGTGGCTGATGGTGAATGTGACTGTGTGCAGGCGCCTGTGGCGGCCATGGTCGGACGCTGCTGGGACGTTTTCCAGCCGCTCCTGTTTGGTCTGATTGGAGCCGAGATCTCCGTCACGTCCCTCAACCCCGGCACTGTGGGTAAGAACGCTCAGGTTACGGCGGCCGTGTTTCTGCTCCGCCCAGCGTTGCCTCACTTCCTGTTTCCTGTCAGGGCTGGGCGTGGCCTGCATCCTGATTGGTCTGCTGGTCCGTCTGGTCGTCACCTTCCTGCTGGTCCATCTCGGAGGTTTCACCCTGAAGGAGAAGCTTTTCATCGCTGTGGCCTGGATGCCTAAAGCCACCGTGCAGGTCTGATGGCGTCTGACCAGGTCATTGACCTCTGACCTCTGGGCCGAGGCTCTGCTGGGGCTGAGGGTTTCATGTTCCTGCTGTCATATCATCATAAAACAGTCATTGCAGCCAAATAAACCAGAAGATTTAAATATTGAAATACATTTTATTACTGGAGAGAAACCAGATGAGATTCAGATCAATCAACCGATCTATTGATCAACTGATCGACTGAGAAACTTTTACTGCAGACAGAAAAATATCAGACATATTTTTCATGATAAATATTTAAAGATATTTTCATGATGTGTTGATGATGAACCTGAAAATGGGAACATCTTGACCCCCTGGAGTGACCTTGACCTCTTGACCCCACACTCAAAAACCATCAGAACCAGTCTGGTCCACCAGATCCAGTCTGGTCCACCAGAACCATCAGAACCAGTCTGGTCCACCAGAACCATCAGAACCAGTCTGGTCCACCAGAACTCCCGGACTAACCGTCCCTCTGTCCTCCAGGCGGCGATCGGATCCAAGGCGTTGGACTTGGCGCGGGACGAAGGCGATGAGACTTTGATCCAGTTTGGTCTGGACGTGCTAACGCTAGCGGTGCTAGCTATCCTGATCACGGCTCCCATCGGGGCGCTGGGGATTGGACTGGCCGGGCCGCGCCTCCTGGCCCGACAGGTCGAAGGTCAGCTCAGAGTCTGGAGGTTTTTATTGAGCCCAAATGATGACCCGGTCCATTAGTTCTGGTTTGACTGAACTTTGGTCAGAACTAAAAACCCTTTGAGTGAAACGTCTTTCAGAACCAGCAGAAGGTCCAATCGGGTCATATTAAGCTGGTATGAGACCAACTGGAACCCATTGATTATGTACCAAACAGTGGGGCTAGCGCTAATGCTAATAGCACAGCTAATTTTAAATTTTAAAATGTTTGGTGCGCTGACTTTATGCTAAATTCATTTTAGATCAATTCTAAAGTTTTCTACGCTGTTTTGAAAATGTTCAGTTCCACTTCCTGTCCTCAGTTTATCCACCCCACGACGCTTATTCTGTTCCCAGAATGCATTTCTGTTCACAATCCGGCGCATGTTGGGTAGCTAATGAATTTAGCTTCTGCTAAGTGTCATACTGGTACAGAGGATTAGCGTTAGCATCTGTCAAACAACATGTTAATATACTGCTTTAACGTTAGCTGAACTAATATTTATGATTAGCGCTTTAGTGTTAGCATAGCTAACCTTTTAGCTAGCGGTGCCCACCTCTGCATGCTGTTTGCAGGGTCCTGACCTCTGACCTCTGACCATCAGTTCTGCTTTGAATCAACCAGTGAATCTTGTTTTCTCTGAACCAGCAGGTGAGACGGAGACAGAAGCCCCGCCACGGCCCCGACCCACCTGCCAAGGAGAAGAGTCACATGATCACTGAGAGCAAAGTGTGATGGTTCTGACCCGATCAGAACCAGCCCAGTTCTCCCAGTGGGACAAACCCAACTGGTTCATGAACATGAAGTTTTGACATGTTAGAAAAACAGAAACAAAATGGCTGAAAATGAAAAGAAGCTTCTTCATTTCCTGGATGTTTTCTTCTGCTTGATTGTTTTATATGAAGGTTTATTCTGCGTCAGTGAAAAGTCACTAATTCTTTGATCACATTTAGTGATTATTATTGGATGTTTTTAACTTTATTATTTCTGCTGAGGATAGAAACAAACTTTATTACAGGGAAGAAACATTTGGTGTTTTATTGTGGCGGGAACTACAGGAAGTGGAGTCGCTCTGCGGTCAGGATGAGGCTGAAGCTGAAGACATCTACAGGAACCGATTCTGGGTCAGAACCGCTCCGTCCACCAGACCAACAGCTCCTCATTTAAAACACCTTCAGAGAGTTCAGAACCGGGTCAAACTGGTTCCATGTTCAGAAACCCAGGCAGGAGTTCTGGACTGGTTGAAACGTTTCCTTCAAAATAAATCTGATTTTAATGTAACTTGATTTCACCAACATAACTCAGGTTGGTCCAGATGTTCGGACCTGCAGTTCTGTCCCTCAGCCTGCAGCGGGCCCGGTTCCACCAGAACCGGCTCCTCCTGACAGGTTCTGTGTGTTTCTGTTAGAAACCAAAGTTCTGCTTTCGTAACCAGAACTGGACCTTCTGATGCTGCAGCAATAAAAACTGAATTTAATCTAATCTGACCAGTTATTTTTTACAGTGCAACATTTAATCTGATCTGTTTAATGATTAAATTAAACAGATTATATATCTTGTTATTCATAACGAACAGAAACGATGCTCTGACAACTCTGTGGGGTCGGGTCGGGTCGGGGTCGGGTCGGAGGTCGTGTCCTCAGGAAGAGTCGAGGTCAGAGGTCAGGAAGAGTCGAGGTCAGAGGTCAAATGGAGTCAGATTCTTCGTCCTTCCATTGAATCCAGACCAGATCAGGTTGGTACCCATGAAGTTCTGCAGCCTACAGAACCGGGTCGGGCTGCGGTTTGGACCGGACCGTCTCCTGCAGCTCATCACATCCTTCATTACTCTGTAAGCATCAGAACCGAACAGAACCGAACAGAACCGAACGGAACCGTCGGACCTCCAGCCTCTCGTCTCAGTTTCCTGTTTTTGCTGTTAACTCAGATTTTCCACAGCGACGGTTTCAGAAACCACAGAACCGCTCAAACTTGTCTGCTCTGACCTGCTGACCCTGACCTGGTTCTGGTTCTGCAGCCGAACCCAATCTGGACCTGAACCCGGCTCTGCAGGGAGAGGAGCTGCTTCACCTCCATCAGAACCAGAACCTCCGAGAGCTGAAACAAGTTTGACTAACATCCAGTTTCACCTCAGAGCTGAAGGTTCTGGTCGGAGTTCCCAGAATCAGAACCAGTTCAGGGTCTTTATTCTCACACATCAGTGTGAAACTCGCTTTGTGGAAACGAAGCCACAAAAACAAAGAGTCAGCAGAAAGCAGAGCACAGAGAGCCAGAGTCACCAGAACCTGACCCTGAACTGGTTCTGGTTCTGGTAACTCAGACCAGAACCTTCAGCTCTGAGGTAAGAGGGGTCCTAAGATTGAACCTTGGGGTTCCCCACATGTGACCTTTGACCTCTTTGATAAGAAGTTTCCAATTGAAACAAAGAAATCCCTGTTCTTTATGTAAGATTCAAACCAGTCGAGCACTGAACCGGAGAGTCCAACCCAACTCTCCAGTCCATTCAGTAATATGTCATGGTGGACACTGAGGTCCAACAGAACCAGAACCAGAACCAGCACTGTGGTTCAACCACAGTCCGTATTTATATGGATGTCATTGAATACTTTGACTAGGCCAGTCTCCGTGCTGTGGTGAGCACAAAAACCAGACTGGAAAGAGTCAAAGCAGTTGGTCATCATGAGGAAACTATTTAATTATTTACAGTTTTTTCAAGAACTTTGCTGATGAATGGGAGGTCAGAGGTCAGAGGTCGGCCTGTAATTCTGCAGTAGTGATTTGTCCAGGTTGTTCTTTTTAGCAGTGGTTTGATAACTGCTGTTTTCAAGGCCTGGGGGAAAACACCTGATGTGAGTGATGAGTTACTATTTGGATCAGATCAGTAACAACACCTGCAGCCCAATGGGACGACTGTTAAAATGTATTATTATTATTGTTATTATTATTGTTGTTATTATTATTATTATTATTATTATTATTGTTGTTGTTATTATTATTATTATTATTATTGTATTATTGTTATTGTTATTATTATTATTATTATTATTATATTATTATTATCATCACTACTGGCTGATTGTTTTATTGTTTCCATGAAGAGTGCAAATATTTCTGCCAGATTTGCCTCCTGATGCGTTTCTATCATGAACATCAGTGAGCCGAGCTCTCAGCCCTGAGGGACTCCAGGTTCCATCAGTGAACATCTTCAGCTGGTGGTTTCTCAGTGAGCTCTGATAACGTTCTGAGTTTCCTCGTAGTTTCACAGAAACGTTGGTTTGTTTGATTCCTGCTATTGTTCATCAGATGATGTTGGTGTGTAAAGCAGCAGTTTGGTGCCAACAGGCTGAATCTGTCGTGCGTCTCGTTGCTCTCACATCCTCCAGCTGCGGTTTGGCTCAACAGGATGTTCTTAACTTCGCTCTGAGACGGACAGAACGGCTTCAGTCTGCAGACGAGATGAACGCCGCCGCACCGCTGCCGCTGCTGCTCTGTGAGTTCAAAACATCCGGAGCTTTTCTCAGCCCAGGAGAAAAAACCTTTCAGGAACATTTCAGGGAGGTTTCAGGAACATTTCAGGAAGTTTTCAGGAACATTTCAGGGAGGTTTCAGGGTAACCTGTTGCGGCTTCTCGTGTTTCCACAGATTTATCTCTGAGCTTCAGCTGCTGTCAGACGGTTTCCTGCCACGGCGAGTCCAACAGAACCGGCCTCAGAAACAACCTGTTTACTGCCGAGTCATCAGAGTTAGAATGAGCAGAACCACCACCAACACATCCTGTCTGGACCCGATTCAGACAGGATGTTCTGACAGGTTCAGAACCTTCTAATGCAGACCTGGGCATTGTATGGCCCGCGGGCCACATACATCCTGTCTAAGGTTAATTGGAAATTTCAAAATAAACATATTTTCTAATTTCACCTCGTGAATGGACTAAAGCTGCTTTGCTTTTATTTGGAAGTTTTTATTTACGTACATAATGACGCATCAGGACGCATGCATGATTGGATCGTTGTCACAAGCAGGTCACCGCACTCCTTTAGCCCTGAGAAATGTCTGCTCCTGCTAAAAAACAGAAGGCTAGAGGCCGAACGCAGAGTTTCAACAGAAATTGGACAGCTAAGTATTTATTTACGGAAGTCAGAGGTAAAGGTGTGTGTTTAGTTTGCGGGGAGCAGGTTGCCGTGTTTAAGGACTACAATTTGAATCGGCATTACGAGACGAAACACGCGGAGAACTACAGAAACTTGAACGATGCTGAAAGGGCGCTGGCATCGGAAGCTTTGCTAGCTAAGCTACAAAAGCAGCAAGGCGTTTTTACCGAGCTTCACACATCCAGGGATGCAGCAACCAAGACCAGCTTTGGTCCACAAAATCGCTAAAAAACAGTAAGCCGTTCTCGGAGGGGGAGCTTGGTGGACTCTGCAGCACTAATATGCCCTCAACAAAAAGAAGCATTTGAGCAAATCCCGCTGTCCAGGCGAACCGTGACAGGAAGGATCGAGGACATTGCGGGGAATCTGGAGCTCCAGCTGCAACGCGAAGTGGCAAGTTTGGACTTTTTCTCCTTGGCTTTGGACGAGAGCTGTGATGTCCGTGACACAGCACAGTTACTCATATCTGTCCGTGGGATAACGTCGGACTTCAAGATTACGGAGGAGCTGGCAGCAATGCGGTCGATGAGAGGAGCGACAACCGGGAGCAATCTGTTGGCGGAGGTCCATGCGTGCATGGACACACTGGCACTGAATGGGACAGACTGGCAGGTGTCACAACGGACGGTTGTCCAAATCTTACGGGCAAAAATGTCGGACTTTTGAAACGTATTCAAGATAAAGTGACGGAAATCGATGCAGATCAAAAATTGGTATTTTTGCATTGTATTATACACCAACATGTGTTGTGCAAACCAGTGCTGAAAATTAACCATGTTATTGATGATGTTACTAAAATTGTAAACTTCATCAGGGCACGGGCATTGAGTCACAGACAGTTTGTCACTTTGGAGGAGCATGAGGCTACCAGCCTGGGCAAGGTGCTAAAAACAGTGTGGGATCTGAAAGCAGAGATTGGAGAGTTTTGTGAGAAGAAAGGTAAAGACATCCCAGAGCTCTCAGACGAGGACTGGGTGACTGCACTGATGAATGAACATAAAAAAACATATTTTCTAATTTCACCTCGTGAATGGACTAAAGCTGCTTTGCTTTTATTTTGAAGTTTTTATTTACGTACATAAATACGTAAATATTTATGTACGTAAATATTTACCTATTTATGTAAAGATACGTAAATATTTTTACAAATATTTTGTGCACAAGGCAAGGGCCTTTTTGTTGATGAAATGCACAGCCTGGTGAAGGCTTTTATGAGAAAGATGCAGTTTCTTTCAAGCCAACTGGAGAGCAACACTCACTCACATGCAAACCCTGAAAGAAGTCACACCATCAGCTGATTGCCTTCGCAGGTACTCATCTATGTTAGGAGCGTTGCACAGTGAGTTTTCAAAGCGATTTGAGGATCTCAGAAAAATTGAGGATGAAATGCACATGGTTTCTTCTGCATTTACCTGCAGTGTGGATAATGTACCCAGTGATGTTCAGCTGGAACTCATTGACCTGCAGTCTGATGCAATACTGGCAGAGCACTTTAAGTCAGGATCTCTGCTTGATTTCTACTCTTCTCTTAAGGAGGGGAACTTTCCAAACATTAGGAGACATGCTCAGAAGATGTTGGTTCTTTGGCTCTACCTACATATGTGAACAAACATTTTCAAGAATGAACTTTACAAAATCCAGGTACAGATCCTCTCTCACTGATGAGCATCTGTCAGCCGTGCTTCGCATCGCCACCTCAGACATTCAAGCTGACTTTGATGCACTCGCTAAAGCCCAGCAGAGACTAGATTTCTCTCACTGAACAAAAAAAAAGAACTTAGGAAATACCAAATAAAGTGGTTAGACTACAAAGACATGTCAGCATGTAAAGGCACCAACTAGCAGTGAACTGGAACACTTTCTTTGGAAGCCCTTTTCTCAATCAGTTCAATGTGATGTATCTTGTTTGGTGGTGTCTTTAGTCTGTTAAGAACCTCTTCCCAACAGTATATAAAACTCAAATGTGTTTTGGAGTGAATGTGACTGAAAATGTTCACTAATATGAGTCACAAATTGTATAAAATGTTCACATTTTGTTTACCATTGATTTGGTTAATTTGACTGAATAAATAACATTTTTTTGTAAGGCAACCTCAGTTTTTCATTGCTTAACTATAAGATCTACTCTTACTAGCTTGTCAAAACAATGCTATTTACTGCTTTTTATAAAGAAATACAATTAATATTATGCAGGATTGAGTTCAGCCTTTTGGTCCACAACATTTTCTGTCTCTCATGTGGCCCCATGGTAAAAATAATTGCCCTCCCCTGTCTTAGATGATCCACCTTTGATTAAACTATCTGTTAAATGGGGGCAGAGCCATGTGAGCA